GTCACTTCCTAGCTGTGACAGTAGGAAGAATACGGTTTAGAGAGAATGTCATAGACGAGGTAGTGAGAGAGAATGTTTCTCAATCACATCTCTCCATTCCATATATATATATATATATATATGTATCCAATAATAAAGAAAAGACTTATATATATCCCTTAAGGGGTATCCTTATTACAATAATACCATTCCTATATTCTAACACTCTCACTCAAGCTGTGAGTATATCTCATGTAATCCCAACTTGGAATAATATTTCTCAAACGAGTACTACTCAAGGATTTAGTAAACATATTAACAAGTTGATCTTTAGACTTGACAAATGGTGTGATAATATCTCCTTGCAACGCCTTTTCTCAAACGAAGTGACAATCAACTTCAATGTGTTTCATTCGTTCATGAAACACATGATTAGAAGCTATATGAACAGCCTATCATAGAACAACTGAAGTGGAGTTTGAGCTGGATAATCGATTTCCTGAAGGAAGTGTTGTAGCCACGTTAACTCGCTGCATGTGTGAGCCATTACCTGGGATTCAGCCTCTCCACTAGATCATGCCACCATTATCTACTTCTTACTCTTCAAGGTAACCTGATTGTCCCCTAGAAAGGTACAATATCATGTAGTAAAACGTCTATTTGAAGGAGACTTTGCCCAATCTAAATCTGTGAATCCTTCCAATTGAAGGCGTCCATGCGATTGATAGAACAATTCAACTCTCGGAGCTTGCTTGAGATAACGAATGCTATGAATGACAACATCCCAATGTGGTACTCGATGAGTCTTTATAAACTGACTAACCACACTACATATGAGATATCTAGTTGAGTAATGGTGAGGTAATTCAACTTTCCTGGTAGACGCCGATACTGTGCATGATTAGAGAAACATTCACCCTTAGTCCCTGAGAGTTTATGATTAGGATCCATAGAGACGTTAATTTGTAGACCACCTAAAAATCATGTTTCCTTCAAAAAATAAAGCACATATTTTCTCTAGGATAGGCTAATGCCCTATTTAGATCTAAAGTATCCAAGTTTGCTTAAATCTTTGGTATGAAATTGATGTTGTAAAAACTGTTTCAACTTTGCAATACCCACTGAATCATCACTTGTAATCACAATATTATCAACATAAACAACAAGAAGGATATAACCTACCCCAGTTCGTAGATGAAATACCGAGTGATCTGTGTGGCACCTATGAAGACCAAACTCTAACACTGCTTCTGAAAATTTTTCAAAGTCCAAACCATGCGCATGGAGATTGTTTCAACCTCTACTAGACTTTCTTTAGTTTACACACATGTCCCTAATAATCCCCTTGAGCAACAAACTCAGGTGGTTGTTCCATGTAAATCTCTTTTGCTAGATCATCATGTAGAAACGCATTATTGACATCTATTGAAATAAGGGCTAGCTAAGATTAACAGTAAGCGAAATTAAAACTCTAACGGAGGAGATTTTAGCAATCGGAGAAAAGGTCTCAGAATAGTCAACACCATAGGTTTGGGTATATCATTTGGCAACCAAACAAGCTTTGAGACGATCTACAGTGTCATCAGGAAGAAATTTAATGGTATATATCCAACGACACCCAACAACCAACTTACCAAGAGGTAGCTAAACAAGATCCCAAGTATGATTGTGAAGGAGAGCATTCATTTTGTTAGCTAACCTCCAACCTGAATTCGACAAGGCATCTGCTGAAGTCTTAGGAACAGAGATATTGGATAACTGAGAAATAAAACAGAAAAAGGAAGGAGATAACAAATGAGAAGAAACATAGTGATGAGGTGGTTAGTAACACAAGAACTAGTACCTCTACGAAGAGCAATAGGTAGAGAATCAGACATAATAGAGGAGGTCGGATTTGAAGACGACGTGGAAGTTGGTGGTAGAGTTGTAATAGATGACCTTGACTGTCAAGTATAAACACGAAAAGGGGTGGGAGGATGTGCACTTGGACTTATGGACAACAGAGGAACAAAGAATAAAGAAATCGAAATCAGAAATGGAAGTGGGGCTAACATCGACGACAACACAGTAGGACCCTTGAAAGGTACAGTAGAAGCAGAAAAATAAGGTGTCGATTCTTAAAAGGTAACATCAGCACTGATGAAAACTAGGGCCAAGATTGTGGACATAACATACACATCCAAATACTTTTGGAGGAAGAGTAAACAAAGAAGATTCAGGGAATAAGGCCGAATGTGGAGATTTTCCTTATAAGGCAGTACATGACATACCATTGATAAGATGGCAAAGCAGTCAAGACAACATCATGCCAAAAAGGGGGAGAAACATTCATATGAAATAAGAGTGCTCGGGTGACATCCAACAAATGACGATTTTGTCGCTTAGCTACACCATTTTTGTTATGGCGTGTATGCATAAGATAGTTGATGCACGATACCTCGTTGATCAAAATACACCCAAAAGGGATTAGAGGTATATTCTTTGGCATTATCAGATCGTAAAATATGAATATTGCAACCAAATTTGCTTCTTAATTTGCTTGCAGACAGTTGAAAGATAGAAAACAATTCTGAGCAGGATTTCATTAAAAACAATTAAGTCATATGAGAATAATTATCCACAATGGTCACAAAATAATAAAATCCATTAATAGAAGTATAGATGGGGTCCTTATACATCAGAATGAACTAATTCAAAAGGAGTATAAACATGATTATCAATCCTAGATTTAAATGGCATTTGATGGTGCTTACTAAGCTGATAAGCTTCACAAAACAAAGATGACACATGATTAAGAGTAGGAACTTGAGACTTCAAAATTGTAAGGGATGGATGTCTGAGATGATAATGCCACTGAAGACTGGACATTTAAGAGAGGGAGTGATCTTATTAATAGATAGCAAACTAAAAAGAAATTAAGGAACAAACAAAACATAAGATAATGATATAGAGGGGCTAAGCGGCATAATACCCAAACCTGAGACCTGAGAAGATGAGCCATTAGTAAGTGTAACATGGCAAGATGGGGCTATGGGGTGAAAATTAGAAAAGTAACCAGAAGAGCTGGTCATTGATTAGAAGCTCTAGAATCAATGATCCATAGATTGGAAGTGGAAGAGAGTAAACAAGCAGATGTTGTACCTGAGTGAGCCAAAGTAATAGTGGAGGAAGACGTGGCATATTTCTGAGACAGGAATAAAGCATACTCATCTCGAGAAACAACAATGAATTGAAAGAGTAAATTCTCCCACCATAACTAATCCCGTAGATTTGCCACATGAAGGTAAAAAAGCCCCATCCTTAAATCTAACTTCCCAAAGACTTGACACAATTTTTTTATTCACCACCTTCCTTTTAGTTTCTTGCAATACCACAATATTCGGCTCCTCCTTAATCACCACTTCCTTAATAGTGCTTTTTTTCTTTTTTATCCCCAATTTCTCGTACATTCCAACTTACAATTTTCATAAAACAAATTACTCTCCCCCTCCCTCTCTCCTAACACTGCTCCCCTCATAATTTTTCTCCGATTCTAAATTTATTCCTCCTAACCCCTATTGTTGTTTTGCATTTCTGACCCTTTTTCCGGTTAAGGACTAGAGAGAGATCCATTTTTGTCAAAAAAAATCTCTCAATCTAAACCAACTAGCTTTGTTAACCAAAAAATCTCCCACTACCTCAAGGACTAAAATATAATTTCGAAACATAGTTGTTAGTATCGTACGATACGTCACGATACACCTAAAAAATAATACGTATCGTGTCTTTGTATTGTTTTTGCACTGTATCATACAATACACGATACGATACGATACATCCGATACGTGACAATTCTGTTTTTTTATTTTCTTTTTTTGGTTTTTGTGTTTGAAATGACATTATTTTATCCTATGACTTTTTTTTAAATCTCTAGCCAGTGAAATAACGTTATTTCAATGGTTATGGTTTTAAAAAAATAAAATAAAGTCTCTTGTTAATGTTGTTTAATTGAATTCAAAATTCTTGGTTAATATTAATGTTGTTCAAGCAGTTGATATTAAAAGTTTGAATTAAAAATCTTTGTATTTTGATATTATTGAAGTATGTTGGGAACTTGAATAGTTGGTGAAATATTAATGAAATGCTATATTATTATGACTGTGACTTTTTTGCAAAGGTATATGTATGTATATATATATATATTATTACTAATTATTTAAAAATTAAAATTGCGCGTATCTTAGGATACACGATAAATGATACGATATACTATTTTTGAATAACGATACACCTTTCGATACGCGATTTGACAACTATGTTTCAAAATAGTTGAAATGTTCGAAATATTTTCGTTTTCAAGGAAACCGAACAAATCAGTGATGAAATCAAAATTCTAATATTTCGAGGTATTTTATAATGTGTCAAGATGTATTATAATATTTCAATGTATTTGCACAATTGTTTTGAAATGTTTCAAGATATTTCAACATAATTTGATATATTTAAATCAATGTTTTACAAAAATAATTCTTAAATTTTTTATTTTTTTCATTATGTTTTCGAAACAGGTCGAAATGTTTTCGAAATAGGTCGAAACGTTTCTGAAACATATTTAATTTTCTAGGTGACCGAAATAATACACTGAAATGAATTTTGATATTTGCTCTGCCCCTTCCTCATTTTTCAAAATTATGTCATTTTTCAACTCCATATCCTTACTGTTTATAGGAAACATAGTTGTGGTTGCAAACTCCAGTTTTCCGTCCTTCACTCCATCCCCAATGGTACTTTTATTATCAAATATAACTATTTTTTTTTTCAATACCTTTGTCAGAATTATTCCTCAGAGACTCATAAAGATCCCTCTCCTCATCCTCAACAAATTCACTCCCAAGTTTTAGATTTTAGGGGAAAGATCAAAAGAAGAATAACAAAGAAAATTTCCTATACCTTGAACCCCATCCTGGGGGGGGGGGGAATTAAGAGTCCCACGGTGAGAAGATTCTTAAGGGAAGAGTTCCAAGATAGCATTAGAAAGTTGCTTACCAGACATAGCCAAATACCTGTGGACGAGGTGCATTTGGTCCAGCTTCATAGTCAACATCAAATAGATTTCCAACCCCGATTATTATATTTGACACTTTTGACACTTCTTTGTCTGAATCTTGTATAGCATCACTCTGACTTTCTTCTTCTTCCCCCTCATCAGTGAAGTTGTCCTTTGTTTCACAACGGACATCATTATGATCGAATATATCTAATTTGTCAATCATCCACATCTTATAAAAGAACAAACCCTCTGTTTCTTCCATGAACTCATTTCTCTGTTATTCAAATTCTTTTCCTTCTTTATTGTGGTCAACGATGATAACCTTCTTTTGTTTTTCCTCCCTCTAATTAGAATCAACAAGACTTTTAATAGTGAATTGGTTTTTAGACCCTTTGTTTAACGAAGCCCGAAATCATTTACTAGCCCAAAATCTAAGCTTTTAATTGGAATTACTAGTAAATCCAAAATTACAGCTCCTTGATCCTTCTTTTGAAAATCAAATTCTTTGCTAACTACTGCAGTATCTCAGGATTAAACTTCAGTAATTATGAGATTACCTTCCATTAATCTCTGCCCAAATATATGTGTTTTCCCATTTAAATCTAAACAATTACCATTTGTGTTACCCTTTAATTCACCAACCTTTTGTACACCCAATGACTCATTTATAATATGTACTTCCCAAGTTTTAGAGTAATTTAATATATTTAATACTAGGGGTAGTTTATTTGTTTACTTTATTTTACTTTGCCCTACTATATAAGGCCTTTATTGTGCATCTTTTCCAGTACGATAAGTTACATGGACTAATTGTGCTGAAATGATATTCTCTCTCTATCTTCTTTATTTGATCAATATTAACACTAAGGACTTCTTGCCCTCCTCAGCTTTTCACCCCTTATTTATAATATTATTATTTTTTTCATCCAAATAAGTCTATTCCAGCATAGCATAACATAAAAAAGGCATAAAGATTTGTCCAAAAAAAAAAATGCATAATGGATTTTATGAAGCCAAAGTAGTAAATTTGTGAGGGTAAAATAGTAGCTTTGATGGAAGTTAATTATTAACATGACACTCAAATTTTGGAATATGCCAAATCATGTGTTTTATTTGTTACAAGGTTTGAGGCCAAATTCAGCATGTTAAATGGCACATCATTAAAGATGTTTCTTTCAAATTAGAAAGCACACAATTGAAGATGTTCTATTTAAATATATAGCTTCAATTGTTGATCTCCAAGGCACAAGTCTAGAAGTGATTTTCAGATACTGTTGCTTCAGGTCTTAATCTGAAATTTCATTGTATTACTCATTGATCTAATACCTTGATAACTTATGCAACTCTAAATGTTCTTTGTATATATTGATATGTAGAGACTCAAATACTCTTCACTCACTTGTAAGGCATTTTCTTAGTTGGTATACTTAACAAAATGATTTAGTTGACCAGCAGGATACTCTACATTTCATAGACACTTTCAAATCTCAATTTGGATACCATTAGGTCTTAAAGGTTTGCCACTTTCAATTTTTACTGTACGATTTACTTGGGGCGTTCTAATTTTGTGGAAGAACTTTTTTCTCTTATCTCCATGTTATTGTATTCTTCAATACCCAAGCTCCCTATATGATTTTCATTTAATAATTTCTCACAGTGAATTTTTCACCTTTTTTTTAATTTCATCATTTTGTATGAAGACACTTGAATCCTTTCTATTGATACACTTAATGTGGTTGAAATCCTTTGATTTTCTCTCCCTTGATTGGGAATGTTTCATAACTTTGTGGATTAAAGCATTGGTTTCATGAAACTTCACTGAGTGACTGGTTTGTAGCGACATCTTTCAAACTTTTCATAGTTTGTGGCAGGAATTGGATCATTATCAATATTTTTACTCACTACGTCTATGTCATTCTCATTAGTTTTGCATATGCTCAATAATGAAAATGTCCCTTCTCATTATTGTCTTTAGGACCTAATCACGAGGAGGACAATTGACAGGTGTTGTGAGATGGGGGCCAAGAGGGATTACTTAAGCTCTTCAATTTCAAACCCATGACGATTCTGTTAATAANCTCAATCAGTGTTATTTAAGGCGTAAAGCGAACCGAAGCGACCAAGGCTCCTAACGCCTAGGCGAGAAGCGAGAAGCGAAGCGACACGCTTTACCGAAGCAAAGCGAACAGTTAAAAAAAATATATATTTTAGTTTAATTACTTCTAAACAATCTAAGTTCTAATTTTATATATACTAAATATTTAAATGCAAGTAAAACCATAAACATTTAAATTAAAAAAAATACTAATAATATCTCAAATCTTAATAACAGTCATAACTTAAACATTTAAATTCAAACAAATACTAACAATTGTATACATTTTCATATTGACAGGGTAGGACAACAAAAGAAGCAGAATCAGGACAACAGCAGAATTAGCAACAAAAAAAAA